AGTTTGGTTGATTAGTTAGTTGGTTGAAAAAGGAGACGCATAAGCACACCAGTTGCCTCTTAAGTTGGAGTATTGGGAGCCGTGGACGATGTCGCGTCTCAACCGACTGAAGACTGAGCATTTGCTTAGATAGGATTCCAGTGTTTCATCATGCTCCGCGCARGCTCGACATTCCTACAAATCAAACCTTTCAATATTCTGAAGAGATCTTAAAAGTAGGTGCCCTATGATGACTCCTACTACAATGCTACTAAGCTCCCTTTTCCTTAGGAGTGAAAAAGATAGCTCTAAATTGTCATAGGCTTAAGCTGTGGACTACCTCAAAGTGTCTCAGACTTAGATTTTGAGAAATTCTTCGTTTTGTTTCTTCACTATTTTTTAATATTTTCGAAAATATTTTATAAATACCAAAAAAAAAAATTAAATATAATTATACATTAATTTGAAAATATAATATTTTTCAAAGTTGAATTAATCYCGACGAGTGTATGACCGCTCATAATTTGCACTGCTTCTTCTTCCAATCACGCGTTCTCCTCTTTGCCACAATTGATACATAACCAMCAACGTAGCAAATCAACGCATGTCAAAAACAATTCCAGCAACARCAACACAACTAATAAAACATATGTGTAGACGAAACATGAGTATCCAACCATACACACAACAACAAAAACTACACAAATAAAACGAAATCATAAATTGCAACAAAAGCCACGGCAATAAGAGCCACACCGAAAATCGCCTCAGGAAAAAATCGGCAAAAGGCAACGGCGGACATGGCGCGCGAGCATCGATGCTCGTGTTGACAAGCGAAACCAAAGCCAAAGCCAGAGCCAGTGCCAGAGCAAGCTAACGGCGCGTACACTGAAGCGCGGTCTCGAGCGGCAGCAGCCAAGTGAAGTGGGCGCAATGTGGCGCGGTGGCAGAGTGGCAGCGTGTAGCGGTTAGTAGTGATGGAACCCCACCCCAGGGCAAAGCGATTTAGTTGTACAACAAGAAAGCGRGCATAAATGGCGATGAAGAGTAAACGTAACAAATGTAATTGCGATATGTCAGCAGTCGCAACAACAACAACAACAATACAAATAATAAAAATAACAACAACAAGTTGTACAACAACAGTCGCTGCAGCGAATTGAGTAATTTTTGCTATCAAGCAAAGAGAGCGTACAATAATCATTGTTGTTGTTGGCGTTGCTGTAATACGAGCGTTGCAAGCATGTATGTACGCCTGTATTTGTGTAAGTATGTAAGCAAGAAAATTGAAACACAAACGCCAAAGCTAATCACAAATGTCGCCTTCACTTATGGCTAAGCTGAGTGCGTACACATTGTTGTTGTTGTTGCTATGCATTTGCTTATTAGCGCGGAAGAGGCGTGTAGGCCAATCTTTGATGAAGTTGCCACACAAGCGAGGAGGACAACAATAACTCATGACGGCCAGGCTGGTGGGCACATTGGCAGCAGAATTAGAGCAATGCAACAACAAATAAAGAGAGAGTATAGACCATATGAGAGCAAGTGCATATTTGAGACATTACTTTTGAAGATTTTCTATTTGCTTAATTCAAAATTGTATTTTCTTCAAATTCAAATATTAACAACAACCACTACAATAACAAAATTCATTGAGAGCRCACTATCTTGTCAAATAGAGAGCGCTAAATTTAATTGAAGTGTGCGAGAGCGCCTTTATAAACCTATTGGCGCRAGAGAAACAAATATGATGCGAAGCAAAGAAAATTTAAGGGCTCATTGTAACTGCGAGAGAGAGTCAGCAAGTGTGTGTCGAAACACGCCCACTTTGAGACTTGTATATAAGACGCAGTGCCACATACACATRCGTTGCTATATAAAACGGCTTAAACCCAAGCGTTGAAAAGAAACAGGGAGTTCAAAATCAAAAGGAATTCGTGCTCTACGCTGTCATGCGTGCGCTGAAAAGAAATGGAGGGTATGAGGCTGTATTGTTGCAACTAAATACATTTGCTAAATACACCAAGTGATGGGCGCTGAAATGCTATGCGGTTGATTTGTTTGTTGCTGTTGTCGTTTTTTGAGTTGTTGTTGTTTTGTGTTTTTTTTTTGGTTTTTGCAATGGTAGACACGACACAGTTGTCAAAAGCGCGTTTGACAGCTCGCCGTAATAGAGTCATATCGGACGGTAACAAGCTTTGTCGGTGTGTTCCACGGCGGAAGTGGGCAGTCGTCGAGAGCAGCAACGTCATATSGACACATCTACTATATGTAATAATTAAAAAAGAATAGCACGTTCGCATAATTGAATTAGGATAACAATGTAAAAAAATAATTGAAGTTATGAGTGCTAACGGTTTTTTTAAGGTATGGTTAAAAGCGAGAAGTGTCATATGTCTGACTGAAGTGGTTGTTTATAATGTAATAGTGCGTGTGATTGTCAGGGAGAAACGTACTAGTTGTAAAGTATTAAAAAATATATTATACGTCAATGTGTATAAATTTGGAAAAAACAAGCAAACGGATATATCTTTTAAGTATGTATTTGAAAACTATTATAACGTGGATATTCGGCTATATAGAATTGTTGTTTAGATAAACTGAGTCGTCGCGTTAAAAATTCAAGAYTCATTCTTGAAGATTACGAATCAAAATAATCATGTACATATGTACATATGTATGTATAGTCCCTTGTATTTACGTATGTAAGAAATTTGCTATAACTGACATTACAAAAATATCAACAATGTTTGCTTTTCAACAAGTAAAATAAAACAAATTTCATTTTCGTTCATTATAACTATTATTATATTAGTAGAACATTAGAGTATTAAAAAAACAAAAATTTATTTTTTTTTTTCGAAAATATACAGATTTTATATTTCTCTCAAATTAATTTATGTATATCCAATTAGATACAATTTGTTCTAATAGCCGACTTAGGAGAACAAAACACCTAAGTGACATACATACATACATATATTCTAAAAATACAAAAATTATTTTGGGCTGATGTGCTCACAAGGAGCACCGCAAACTTTAATTACATTTTAGGATTTCTGTTTTTGTTTTTTTTTTTGTAGATTTCAATATTTTAGAATATGTTTAATTATAAAATACAAYAATGATTGGAGTGAAAAATTAAAAATATTTAACCGACATTTAGAAAAATAACATATCAAAAATTAATTTTTTAACCAGACAAAATAATGTATTCGCAACTATCATAGTGAAAAAAAATTATAATAAAAAAAATACTTGGGTTTTTGAAAAATAAAAAATATTTATAAACAAAAATTTAAAAAAAGAACACTTCTTTTGAAATATAAAAAAACTAAATTTTAATCCTAACTACCGAATCGAAAAATTTGAAATACATTTTTGAATCCGAAAAATGGGGCACAAAACAGTTAGTTGTAAATACCCGCAGGAAATATATAAATATTCGTAATAAAAAAATATTTTTTTCATTCACTCACAATATCGAATTGAAATTTTTAATTGCAAAACTCGAATGAAAGAAAGATAAAAACTCCAAATCTTAGCCCTAATAACAAATATCTCTTATAAAATTTTAAAAAATTTTGTTTTTGAATCTTACATTTTTATAGCTTGCCTTTTTTCCTTGGTTATCAATTTGGTCATCGTTTTAAAAGGAAGGCTTCATTTTTATAAAATTTCGTCACGGTTTGGCACTTTTTGCCTAATTTACACTTAATTAGTTTTTTGGTTACAAATATTTAAATATTTTCATTTAGCGCCTTTTCATTCCAACTCTTGTTAAAAAAAAAATATTTTTGTATTTACTAAAGCAATTTTTAAGTCAAAAAGTGTTTTATAAATTTTTAATACATATTTTGGGAATAAAAATTAAATTTCCAATTTTAGATAAAATTTTCTGTTAAAATAATTTGATATAAAATTTTTAATTCAAATATTCGAATTAAAAATGTAAATTCAAATTTTAAATTTCAATTTTTTAATATAAAAATTCGCAACTCTGTTATGCTACTATTACCAAAATCGGTTTCGCATCAGAATAATATAATCATAAAATTCTAAAAGCACATTAAGTTCAACATACATACATATGTATGTAGGTATTTTTCTTTCGAATTCCTTTCTAAAATTTTTGGATAATAAGAAAAACGCGTTTAAAAGCTRATGAAAATGACTAAAGTGAGCAAAAATACAATTTAAAACATTTAAATTATTTCGGACACAATATTTGCTTAAATTCTTGCACACAATTTATTTAAATTTCTAAATTTTTGTGCATTCAAAATTCCATTTACTTAAATTTAATTTATATTTTTTTAATAATTATGCACCCAAAATTCTGATTAAATAATTTAAAATTTTAATTTATTTTTTTGCACACAAAAATCCAATTTCTTTATATTATTTACCATTATTATTATTTACGGAAATTTTTCTTCTTCTTTCCCTTTTTAATATTTTAAACTGAATTTTCAAGTTTATTAAAGAGTATTTTCTTTATCAATGAACTGTTTCAATATAAAATACTATTCATAAACTCTTAAATACCTATGTATTTTTATCAAGTATTTAAATAAGTTAAAAATAATAGCTAATATTATATATAAAAATATATTTTCTTAATTCGCCCTTAGATTCAAAACCTCCACTTGGGAATTTTTTGAATTACTCTAATAAGTGGATTTTTATTGAAAACAAATCSAAATTTGTAATAAAACACACTTAAAAATTAAAAAATAACTTTCAATTTTTTATTAAAAATGTAAGCTAACAACTTATGAAATAATATTCATTATTTTATTAGAATCCAAGAAAAACTATCACATGTGGAGTAAAAAACATGTGGAATGAAAAARGCAAAACAAAACCGCAAACGATAAATAAAAAAAATTAGCAACCGTTTACAAAAAAAACAACACAAAATACAACAAAATAATTTTTGAAAAAATACCTCAAGCAGTTACAATAAATTTAAATGCGACTGAGTTTTAAAAAATATGTAAAAATATTACRAAGACTAATGAAGACAATCGCGAGTTTAGTGACTATAATACTACAATTATTCAGCGACAAATTAAGTTATCCGTGTTTTCAATAAACACGCACAACAACTCAACAAACGCCGCTAAAAAAAAAAAACAAAAAAATCATAACAGCGTCCTTAGCGCAGCTTCTGAACTAGCCAGCCGGTGGACTCATGCTTATCAAGCAAACGCTCCGAGTACCGCGTGCCACAACAACCCACAAGCAGCGCGTCAGGCTGTCAACCAGCGTTGCCTAACTATCAGCTGCTCATCAGCATATCAGTCGTTGCGGAAGCTTACGCCAGAGCAGTTCTAACAAATCTRTCCAAAAGCAAAGTAATCGATCAGCAGCGCGCTCAACAGTGAGACATAAAAACTGTAACAGAAGTAAAACACAAAAAACGAAACCACAAACAATAATTTGCGTTTCGAAGCCAATCAGTCGCTCGGCATGTCTGTCACATCGTCCGTCTTCGTAACGTACGCAAACACACACACAYAGCACTGCAAGCTTGCGCGCTAGTACAACAAACCAACAACCAACCACCACCACAACTCAGCCTCCAATTGTGCTGTGGCAACAACAGCAARCACCATCGCAAATAGGCGTGCTCACTCGCACCCACAGCATTTAGGGCTGGCATTCGGCTGGCTATGCGTGCGTGCGCGCTCGCTGCATGTGTGAGAGAGAGTATAGGCGCTGCTTGGCAGCTCGTTTGACAGCCTTAACAGTTCAATCTGCAGTGTGACTGCCTATGACTGTCGCTCAACGYTGCTGAAGTCGTCATCGTTAGCCTGGAGTTGTCGCTTCGCTGGGACGATAAGCAACTGTGATTAGTTAATTTACTCGTTGCGTTCGCCGTGAACAGACGTGTGCGTCGCAGTCGTGTGTAACAGTAGTCGGAAAGCAAGCGAGCAAACAAGCAAAGAAGAAGTAKAAAAACGTAATAAACGTGTTTGCCTCGTCGACCAAGAAACAAGTGTTTTGGAGTGCAAGCAAATTGGACCAACATAGTGCAAACGTGAACGCCTACGGTTTACCGTTAAACAAAAATATAACACGAATATTTCAAGTGGCGAGTGTTCGAATGCTAAAAATACATTACTAAAAATTATTAAATTTTGAAAAAAAAAATAAAAAATCTTAAAAGAAATATTTGCGCGATTAAGCYTCGTATATGCTCCAATGCTAGTGTGACATTTACAAAAACTTTCCAATTGTGCAAAATTACAAAAAAAAAAAAAATTATTATACACCGCGTTTACCACAACGCCGCTAAATCGCAGCCAAAATTGCCACGCCGCTACCAATGGCCCTAGAGGATCGCTGCAGTCCGCAATCTGCTCCAAGTCCACCTGGCCTACCGCAATCACCGCACCAGCCGCAACGCCTCAGCCAACAACAACAGCAAATACATCAACTGCAATATAGCCCAACTGGCGTCAGCACCGTACTGGACATGAGTCTGCATACACATCCGCCACCACCACCACCGCCACACGTAGCCGCGACTACTACATCGCCCGCAATGTTGCCACATCCTGTAAGCGCAGCCAGCAATGCCGCCGCTGCTGCCACACTCTATCACCAACACCAGCAATTGCAGCATTTGCATCATCTACAACAATTACAACAACTACATCAGCAGCAATTGGTGAATGCTGCCGCTTTCCATCATCATCCCGGTTTCGATGCGGCTGCTGCGACCGCTTTGGCGGCGGCCAATCATGCGGCCACATTGCAACAGCGCTTGGTGGCCTCGCCGGGCGCCACCTCTACACCGTCATCTACACCCGCTTCGACTATGACCATCAAGGAGGAGGAGAATGACTCGATTATTGGTGATAGTTTTCATGGTGATGCGCTTGCTGGCAACGCTCAAATGCGTGGCAACACAACGGAAGATGATGATGCGGAGGATGAGGCGGAAGATGAAGATGACGATATCGATGTGGACGATGTGGATGATGCGACACCGAGTGGYGCCACACAACGCACACCACCACCCGCACATCAGCAATCCGCCAAACCGACACTCGCCTTCTCGATCTCCAACATACTTAGCGATCGCTTTGGTGGCAACGAGGCTGCCAGCCGTAACAMTAATGAGTCGCTTGGCGCCGGCGCCACATTGAAACAAACACATTTGCATGCGAATAGCATATTTCGTCCTTTCGATGCGGCACGTTCCGCCACACCATCTGCCTTTACACGCGTCGATCTGCTCGAGTTCAGTCGACAGCAACAAGCGGCGGCCGCCGCCGCCACTGCGGCTATGATGCTGGAACGCGCCAACTTCTTAAACTGCTTCAATCCCGCCGCCTATCCACGTATCCATGAAGAGATCGTCAATAGTCGCATGCGACGCAGTGGTGTCTTGCCACCAGCCGGTGCTCTGAAAACTGGTGAGTCCGCTACAAACGCTGCYGCCGTCGGCGGTATGGGCGCTATGGAAAAGTCCGCTTTAGGCTCACTCTGCAAGGCAGTCTCGCAAATTGGTCAAACTGTCGCGGCGCCAGCTTGTTCGRGCGCCTCATCATCCGCGGCAAGCGCATCGAGCATAGCCAGTCCACCACCCGCTTCCAATGCATCTAGCGCGTCGTCGTCCACATCGGCGGGCAGCTCACTAAATTCRTCGCCCACCAGCCGCAGTTTGCCCAGCAAAAGCAGCAGCCCGCAGCCTATACCGCCGCCATCGGCGGTGAGTAGGGACTCTGGCATGGAGTCGTCCGATGACACACGCTCCGAGGCGGGCTCCACGACCACGGATGGTGGCAAGAATGAAGTGTGGCCGGCGTGGGTGTATTGTACGCGCTACAGCGATCGTCCCAGCTCCGGTGAGTGTGAATTTTAATTGAAAATCATATTTGATAGCGTGTCTCAGAGACTAAACTGTAAATTAGATTTGATTTTTTGCCCGAAATTTTATTTTAAAGTGTAGTAACGGTATATACTGAAATGCAATTTTAAGTTGTAGTCTCTAAGGTGTTTATCTAAAAAATGCTATGGAGTAGTCCAGCCTATACTTTCTCTCAAAAAATATTTGAAGGTCATTTTATATTGCATATGTATGTATATGTATAAGTATATAAATTTTTATATTTTCGTATTGCACATTTTGCAATAAAAATATTTACTCTCACATTTGTACATACACATAAACTCATAAGACTTCGTAATGTGAAAAATAACTCAAAATGCTAGTAAAAATAGCCATGACATAAAAATGCCATATACTCGCTTACAACACAAGGTCAAATCTGGCAAAAAGTTACTGTAAATATCCACATTTCGAAAGAGCAAATTCGAAGGACACGAAAGGACTCACACATAGTGGCGACTTTCGGCATATCCTTCGATTTCAAAGGGCCCCCTTGCTGCGTCACGTATCACGTATGTTTACATAGCAGGCCTGTCAATGGCTGTGTGCGCGCGTGTATGTGTGCCCTTATTTATGTGCTGCTTTGATGCTTAGCCGCTATGTGACAATTTTATGTGACAATAAAGGAAAATCGGATAGTTTTTTTCTTTTTGGAGAGAAAATTTGTTAGGGAGGCTTGATATAAGAATTTCTATAGGAATAGCAATGTATGTATATACATATGTGTATACATATCGTCATCTAAAATGCAAAATAATATCAGTTTTCGTAAGTTTACAGGCGAAGGAAAAACGATGTATTACAACCACTCATATGAAACGAAATTTGAGTTTTGGTTATAAACTGGTTATATATTGGATATAAAATGGTTATATATTAGTTATATATTGGTTAGCATACACTCATGTTCAGACAAAATTAGATTAAAAAAAAATTAGCAAATATGAATTACCTTTGATGTTTGCCAACTAACAACAAAATATGCAAAACACCAACGCTTATCTCCAGCTACACTTAAAATCACTGCCACAAGTTCACAATTAGGCGCCGTTAGCTTACAGCTCCTCACATGCTAAACTGCTAAGCAGCAAACTAGCGCTGGAAAGCAAATAATTCAAGCGTTTAGCAGCTTCGACGCTTGCAAATCACTTGCCACTCTTCTCACTTTGCTACAAGCCACACTTGTAAGTTCTTGTTGTTGCTGTTGTTGGCGCTGAGTTGTTAAATTCTTGATTTGCTAATTGCAAATAACTTAATAAAGCAGCAAGCAGCATCTTCAAGCGTTYGTTTCGCGGCACTCGAGCTGGCAAAAATTTGAATTAATAGGCGCTTAGCGTTTATAATAAGCAGTTAGTAAAGTGTGCAACAACAACAAAAGCATAGTGCATATYAAAGTGGGCGCTTAGCGGCAATTAGCAGCTAAATTATAGCGTTCATCTTTCTGTGTTTATGTGCATACATCTGTGTGTGTGTATTTGTGTGYAGAAAACGGAAGTTGCAACGCGAAGGCTTCAAGCACATTTCGAAAGGTAGGCGGTTAGTGTGACTCAGCTGGTGATCATTTAAATTCAAATAAAATGAAATTTATGCAGTTGCAGTTTTTTATTTACCGTAATTTGTGCTAAAGTGTTGATTGTGCTTTAACTTGCTTTGGCGTTTGAAAAAAAAAAGCTCATTATAAGCAATTAGTTAATTAATTTTATTTAATTGTGAATTTATGCGCTGATTTGGAATTAAAGTGTGAAGTTTATTATTAAAAAAAATTTTTGTTAGTTCTTAAATTTTTTATTTTGAAATAATTATTTTATTTTTTTTATGTTTTATTTTTTATATGTTTCTTATTTTTTTGTATATTTTTTATCATAATTTTTTGTTAATATATATGGATATTGTTTTAATTACTTCTTCTATATTTTTTAATAATTTTATTATTTCTATTTAATTTTTTCATATTTTTAGATACTTATGTTTATTTTTTGTCTGAATTGCAATCTTTAAATTTTATTTTGTTATAATAGAAATACTTAATTTTTTTAATTCTTACTACATATTCTCTTTCTCTTATATATATATATGTGTTTCTTAATTTTTATAGTTTTAAGTACTTCTTTCATACTTTTTAATTTATTTTTAATTTATATTTAGTTTAAATTGCAATATTTAATTTTTTGTATATATTTGTATTTTATGTATGTTTTTCAGTATTATGGTTCTTGTTGGTTTTTTATTTTTTCACATTTTTTAAATTTTTCTTTATTTGAATATATTTTGAAATATTTCTTTGATAATTTAAAATTTCTTTTTTTTATATCAAATAGTTTATATTTTTATATACATACATCTTAATATTTGAAAATTTGTTTTTTACTTGAATTGCAGTATTTAAATTTTGTTAATTTTTTTTTTAAACTGCAATATTCAAAGTTTTTCTATTTTGTTTTTTAAGTTGTTTTCTAATATTTTGTATATTATTTTTTATTATATTTTTATTTTATTTTATTTTTTATATTCTTCTTTTTTTTCGATTTTTTTAGATTTTTTTTAATATTTCAAATTTTTTGTTAATTTAAAAAAAAATTTAAATATTTAATTTTTCATTGTAATTAAACTCGCAATCAGTGCGAAATTTTTCGAATTTTCCAAATACCAAATGCAGCTGGCATAATTAATCATTTATTGAGTGAAATTTAATTGGAACGCCGAAAAATACACACACACACATACATAATATAGAGTACATGATCTATTAAGTGCCTAACCGCGCTTCCTCTTCTTCTCAAAAATTCAGTTTTTTCATTTTATTTTTTAACTAGCTACAAATTTATCGCTCGCTGCTCATTTTTCAATCAACAGCAAATTAAAAATCAATTCAAAACCATAAAAATGCACTTAACTCATCAATTAACGGTCGAAAATAGCAGCCGAGAAGTGTCTTGTATTAAATTTGAGTTGTGTGCGAAGAAAGCGAGTATTACGCGTTTSTAGACAAGGGGAAGTAAATACATATGTASATGCATATAYACATGTGCTCATATCTATGTACATATGTATGCATTTGTAAGCGTTTTTGTGTATAGAAAGTGATTTGAAGCAGGCAACGCAAGTTAAACACTTAAAGAATAGTGGAGATAGTTTAGAAAAATATATGTGGGCGTGTACATACATACGTAAATATGTATTATAAATATGCTGGTACATATGTATGTATGCTGAACGTTTTTAACTCAATAAAAAGCGACTTGGGAGTATGCGATGCATACATATCTCTTGTATGTAAATATGTATGCAGTGAATGGACTAAAATTTAAAATAATTATTCGAAAGGATGCTTGAACTTCTTCGATTTTTAACAAGATTAAATATTATTTTTAAAAACTTTTTGTAATTTTTTTTAATCTACATGCTAGTAAAAAATTCAAAAAAAATTTTTTTTTATATCAATAAAAATTTCGAAGGAAAAAAATTTTAAATGTTTTTGCAACCTCGATAGAGTGAAAAATATCAAATAATTTTACTTAAAGACCAAAGAGACGAGAATAAAATATTAGAATAAAATAAAAATGCATGACAGCTGACAAATTATCAAGCGGCGGCAAAGAGTCAAGTGCTAAAGAACGTACGACCTATATGTTAAGCCAGCAAGTATACTTAGTGAGCAAGTTAATTCAGCGCTTGACGAGTTTATAAATTAAAACATAAATAAATTAATTATTACATTGTATGATAATTTTGACATTTGCCAGCGGAACAATGAGCAAAAAGCGAAAGCAAAAGCGGCAACGCACAAAGGCTAAGTTAATGCTGGTTAGAACATAAAAAAACACACACACTTACGAATGTACATACACAGTCATATGAGCATTTATGTACATGCGAAAAGCCATARCACGACTCGGCGAAATGTCCTTTTTTATGATTTCTTTACGGTTTTTACTTTTATTTTTRCCATACAGTAATTGTTCTGTGTAAACTTGCCGCCTACGCGCTGTTTGTTGCATGCAACTGACTGTCTGTCAACGCCTGACAGCTGACATATTGACATGTGCCACGCAATGAAATTCTGCTTACATGCATACTTAGACAGACTTTTTACTATATACCTATATATATATACATTAGTAATGCTCACATTAGAAAATATTTATATGAATACATACATATGTACATATGTACATACATACAAATGTATGTAACATACTCGCCTCATTTGTATGCAACTATTTATGGAATTCCTGTGAAACATGCTTTAATWTCTTATTTAATATATCAGTTAAGGCGTAATATGCTAATTTTCATGTGCCTTTTTTGCTTGCTTGCATTGCAGGTCCACGCTATCGTCGCCCCAAGCAGCCAAAGGACAAAACTACGGATGAGAAACGGCCGCGCACCGCCTTCTCCAGCGAACAGTTGGCACGCTTGAAGGTAAATATCGACATTT